GAGTGGATCTTCAAGCTATTTAGTTAGTCGCTTTTATCATATTTCCAGCCGTACATCTTCTAATAGCTTAGCTTTCAGCATGGAACGTTTTGTCTTGGCCTTTTATGAAAATCATATTATTCTTGATAACTGTTTAGTTGAGGGTGTTTTTTTTTTCCGCAAATTAGTATTTTTTTAAAAATATGATTAATATAATGTATTTATTTAAGAAATTTTTTTAGCGACGGACTCAGTTACAATGCAGTATTTGTTCATAACTACTTTCTCAACTTACTGAAGCACAAGGAGTCAATATCACCTCTACTGGACTCGAACTCATAACCAATTCATATGAGAGAGCAACTTGGTGCAACTAGACCACAAGATCATTAGCATTGAGGGTGTTCAGTATTCTGTTAGTGTATATTGCAATTGCCATCCGTAAAATAACATTTTACTTTCTAGCTTAGAGCTTTCACTTTTCGCTTCAAACTTGTGCAACCTTTTGGATATGACTTTACAAATAGTCAATCCTAGTATTGTTCGATATATATTTTAAGTATCTGGTTAGTTTGACTTTTCAATCCCATACTACATTCCGATCAAGGTTGACCCTTATAACCTTTCGGTTTTAATTTCTTCAATCTTTAATAATACTTGTACTCTTCAGTCTTCTTCTTTTTAGTTTTCATATCTTGAACTCTTAAGTCTTCAACCTTTTGAACATTGACTTTTCAATCCCATACTACATTCCGATCAAGGTTGACCCTTATAACCTTTCGGTTTTAATTTCTTCAATCTTCAATAATACTTGTACTCTTCAGTCTTCTTCTTTTTAGTTTTCATATCTTGAACTCTTAAGTCTTCAACCTTTTGAACATTGACTTTTCAAATGTTACTGTTTACAACTTTTTGAGATTTAACTATCCTATAGTTTACTTTTCGGTGTTTTGATTTTCTAGTGAGTAAAATTTGTTCCAAAAGATGCTCTTTTGAATATACATTTGAAAAATTCCTAAGTCTATAAAAACAATATTGGAGACCTAAATTTCTTAATTTTGTTTAATATCATCAAAATCTAAATGACACTTATTACAAAGAATATGTACTGCGCAACTTGTTTGAAATGGATATAGATAGCATTGGAATATAACATTATATTAAAGAGTTAACTCCATTAGTAGTCCCTTGTCTTTGGTGGAAATTTCAAATTTAGTTATGGACCATCGCGTTTTTGTCATTTAACATCCCAAACTATTATATTTTGGACACTTTTAGTCCTTTTGATGAAATCATATATTTATGTAGGGGTATTTTTGTCTCTTTAAATTTTATTTTATTTTTTCCCAATGAGTTAATTTCAATGGAGGTCCCATGTCTTTGGTGACAGTTTCAAATTTAGTCCCAAACAACCATTTTTATCATTTAACAACCCAGACTATCATATTCTGGACACTTTTGATTCTTCCGATTACTTTTTAAGGTGAAATCCTATTTTAGGCAAGGGCATTTTGCCATTTTTTGTCTCTTCAAAATTTTTCCCGATTTTTGTCTCTTCAAAATTTTTCCCGATTTTTGTCTCTTCAGGTGTGGATTGCATCATCTCCTTCACCTAGCTCTTGCATACCTTCATCTCCTTCACCTAGCTCTTGCATGCCTTCATCTCCTTTAACTCAACCCCCAAATCGTCTTTCGCCAATGGCGATACCGAGTACGTAAGGACCTCTGGGTGTGGGGGAATTATTTTGCAACGCATTTGGAAAGCTTAGGATGTCGCCACTCGATTGGCTTTAATTAGTCTGATCACTATTGTTTTAGTCCTTGATTATGTGAATCGTCTACTATAGTTGTAGGGCAAAAAAAGAAAAACATCTTCTTTGTCATCGGAAAATATCATTTTCTAAAATAGGATTTCATCAGAGAAAGTCACCGAAAAGATCAAAAGTGTCTAAAATATGATAGTTTGGATGTTAAATGGCAAACACAATTGTCTGGGATTAAATTTGAAAATGTGACCAAAGACAGAAGACCTCTCCTGGAATTAACTCATTGAAAAATAATTTTTTTTTAAAAAAAAATTTGAGGAGACAAAAATATCATTACCTAAATTAAAATTTCAACAAAAAGTCATTGAAGAATCAAAAGTGTCCAACATATAATAATCTAGAATGAGTGTTAAATGACAAAAATATTAATTTAGGACTAAATTTAAAACTACCACCAAAATAAGGGAAATATACTTAGAATTAACTCTTATATTAAATATATACATACTTTCCAAAAGGTAAAAGAAAATAACTAGTGCACGGTCTCCATGGTTGTTTGAAATGAACTACCCATGGGTCCTCATTTAAGTACGAACAGACAAACATATACATATATAAATCACACATGCATTACATCACTAAACAATTTCTCAAAAAAAAAAAAAAAACATCACTAAACAACTTCACAAACATTACAAACATAATTTCGCCTACACTACCTTAACCTAAATATAAAGGCAAAAACTTGTATAAAATTATGTTGGAGATAATGAACCACAATCGATTTAATATCCGTAAAATAATATTTATATATATACACACGAAATATATATAAAATATTATTGGATATATATATCCGATATATATATATACACACAAATATATATAAGACGGACCCAACGGTTATATATAAATGTATATCTACGAAAAAGATATACCAATATATATCAACCAAAAGAAAATATAATCCTTAGATTATAATTCCAATTTAACAAGAAAGAACGGATTTTTGCTTAAAAGCATAATCCAAAACAAGAAAGAATGAGAAGAAAGAAAGAAATGTACGAGTTAGGCAAAGTGTCTGTCTTTCCTTAAAACCTTATTTGCCACCTCCCAAAAGTGCTAGGAGCGTTGTGGCCTAGGTTTCCCAGGATAAAACGTACCACGGTTCGACGTTTGAGCACCCAAACGAACGAACCCGGCAAACTAGAGCACGGGCAAAACACAGTAGCAAGAAAGGTGTAGGAGCAGAGTTTTGGAGCTTGGAAAAACAGAATTTTCTGTGTTGTGTGTGTTGTTCTCCCGTGTAGAAACACTGCTGCTACCCTCCTTCTTATATAGGGACGTAGGACATCAAATAGCATTTAACTAGGCCATTAACACCAGCCTTGTAACATCTGAAACAGCTGGTCTTTAGTGCAGATTTAATTCAAAAATCAAATACAGAAATTAATTCTATAACGGATGAATTAAATCTCCAACTGTCCAGAGACGTATCTGGTAGACCGACCTCGCGGTGCGCACGACTCTCGAGTTGCTCTCGGCTGGGTGCTCAACCTCGCGGTGCGCACGACTCTCGAGTTGCTCTCGGCTGGGTGAGCTCGAGAGCAACTCTCGTGTTGCTCTCGGCTGGTGCCGGCGCACACGAGCTCGGGCTTGAATCAAGCCTTTTGATCTCGTTTCTAGTTGGAATTTAATTTGCACCCCCCCCCCCCCCCCCCGCGCGAGAGAGCCTCTATGCTATACAATTCTACAAGCTCTAAAAAAGCTCTTGTATAAAAGGGGGGTCAAATCCTCTTTCCAAACCAATGTGGGACAAAAGCTCACTTTTTCCCTTCATTTTTCCAACTCAATGGGTCTACTTTGAGAATCAATATCTCATTCACCCAATATCCGTTTTGAGCGTACAATATATCAATCTCTTCGTCTCACTACGAAGAATCCGAATCCACTTTGACCCGATCCAAATCGGAAGTGGACTCCACTGATAATTGTACCACAAAATAGCCACTTAACATGTCATTATATGCCATTTTAATGCTATTTTTTCCAACAAATTATCTCACGGATTGTTGTTTGTGAGACGTGTTGGGTCAACATAAAATGTAATATTTATACTATAACAAATGTAATACTAAATCATAAATAAAATGTTTATTACTTATATGAGAAAATATTTTTATATTTATTTTTCATTAAAAGTATTACATTTTTTTTTTATAAATAACAAATACTTGCTAACATTATTTATATGGAAAAAATATAATATTTTTTATGAAAAAAACTAATATTTTTACATCAAAATATAAGGGGGTGTTTGGTTGGATGGAAATTAAATTCCATGGAAAAGATTTTCCATGAAATGTAGGAAAATGATGTTTTACCTTGTTTGGTTGGATGGAAAATCTTTTCCATGGGAATTTGACTTCCCAAAGGTGAAGGAAAAGAAAATCCTACCTAAACATTGGTATTTTGTTTTCCAAATGAGTTGGGAAGAAAATATAGTACTATAGACTATTTTGCCCTCATCAAAATTTATTAACTACACATGTATAAATTATTGTTAAGGGCATATTGGTCTTTATATTCATAATTCCTTACCATTCCAAACTCAACCAAACAATGAAATTCATATTCCCAGTAATTTCTTTTCCACTAACCAAACAATGGAATCTATTTTCCTGGTAATTTGTTTTCCATGGAATTTGAATTCCATTTCCCTTCAAAAGTATTATATTTATCCTCAAAAATATTACGTTTTCTCTTATAAGTAACAAACACTTTATTCCCAATTAGTATTACATTTTTCAGTATAACTATTACATTTGTATATTAATTCGTCCAAATCCGACTTGTGTCACGGATAAAGATTCATGAGACGGTCTCACACAATTATGGTCCAAATATAAATACTATAATAAAACACAATACATATCATCATTATATTAAATATTTATACATAATGATCATACCCATTAAAATAAGTTTAAAAAGAGGGAATTCATGCATTTTTTATTTTTTATTTTTTTATTTTCAATTAAAACTGAAATTCTTTGTTCGGGTGGGAGTCGGAAGCAAAAGCAGCCACTCATTACGAGAAGATCCGGTAAAAGAGCTCATTCTCATCTCAACCTATTGTTCATCATTGACCAAAAAGAAAAACAAAACAGAAATACAAACAACACTTGTAAAAACTCCATCATCTTCAAAACAGAACAGAAAGTACTGACAAGTTTTTGTGCGACTAAAAAGTTTGCATTTACAGAGACCCATCCAATGCTCATTACTATATTACAGTGCCATGAAGCAAAATAGTGACATTAAACCACTCTCCCTGATCTCCATATTCCTCATTGTTATTCTCTTTAATGTTACTGAGAGTACTGAAACTACAGAGTTTCAGCAGAGGGAGTTGTTGTCCTATGGCGGTGATTCTTTAGCCATCGACCCATCCATTGAATTCCCAAATTCCAGGTTGAAGAACGCTTACATTGCATTGCAGGCTTGGAAAGAGGCCATAATCTCGGATCCTTATAACACAACAGAGAATTGGGTTGGATCCGACGTGTGTAATTACACCGGCGTGGTCTGTTGGTGGGCGCCGGACGACCCGTCGGAGCCCACGGTGGCCGGGATTGATATCAACCACGCCGATATCGCCGGAACTCTCCCGCATGAGTTGGGGCTTCTCTATGATATTTCCCTGTTCCACATCAACTCCAATAGATTCTGCGGTACCCTTCCCCAGAGTTTCGTGAATCTGAAACTCCTGTTCGAGCTGGATCTCAGTAACAACCGGTTCGCCGGAAAGTTCCCCTCCCTGGTTCTCCAGTTACCCAGTCTTAAGTACCTGGACATCCGGTTCAATGAGTTTGAAGGTGGGATTCCGGCGGAGCTTTTCGACATGGAATTGGACGCCATATTTGTGAACAATAACAGGTTCTCCTCTGAGCTGCCGGAAAACCTAGGAAACTCCCCGGCTTCAGTTATTGTTTTGGCTAACAATCGGTTTCGAGGTTGTCTGCCGAGGAGCTTGGGAAACATGTCGGAAACGCTCAACGAATTGGTGCTGTCCAATAATGCTTTCCGGTCGTGTCTGCCGAGTGAAATCGGGGAGTTGAGGAATTTGAGTGTGTTGGATGTGAGTAGGAATAAGATGGTGGGTGAGTTGCCGGCGGAGAGTATAGGGAGAATGAAGGGGTTGATGGAGTTGAATTTGGGGTTTAATAGGTTCTCTGGGGAGGTGTCGGGCAAAATATGTTCACTATCCAGTTTGTTGAGCTTTGAGTACGAGGATAACTTTTTCACCAAGGATGATTCGGCTTGTCTTAATTTGGCTGCTTATGATGACACCAAGAATTGTTTGAGAGACAGGGAGAATCAACGGACTGAGTTGGAGTGTAAGAGGGTTTTGTCCCAGGCTGCGGTTGTTAATTGTAACAGTTTCAAATGTGGCCCACCACCACCACCGCCACCGCCACCACAACCAGAATCACCACCGCCACCACTATCATCTCCTCCACCCCCACAACCAGAATCACCACCACCACCATCACCACCGTCACCTAGTGACTGCAACTGCAATGTAACAACATCACCACCTCCTCCTTCTCCACAAAAAAATTCACCCCCACCCCCACCACCACCGTCGCCTACAAACAATATACCCTCGCCACCGCTACCGCCACCGCCACCCCCACCCCCGGGATCTCCTCCGTGTCCAGAAAAAACACCTCCACCTCCACCGACTCAAAACTCGCCGTCGTCTCCATCATCACCTCCAAGTTAACCCCACAAAATTAAAGTTAATTATTACATTTGAGTTTCAATTCAAATGACCACTTAACATCACTTGTATCGTCCGTCATTGCCAGCCATTTCAGATCAGTTTTCATGCCAATATAATAATTGAAGCGTCACGGTTGAGATTCTGCATGCAGGCTGAAATTCAGGAAAAAAAGATCAGAGTTTTGTGTATGCATCAATTCAAGCAAATCAGAAATACATGTTGTAATTGATTATGTGTTTTTAACGACGGCATTTCATGAGGGGTGACATACATACAAGTAATGCAGAGTGGTGGGGAACAGCATGCATGCATGCATGCCAGCACTGAGCATTTACTTTACTTAGCTTTTTTCTTTGTGTCTCTTCCAAATATCAATAAAATTACATGTAATGAGGCATTACAGGCAACAGGCCGGAAATCTAAAGTATGATGACAAACTTCAACTAAACAGGGCCTATATTTAATCCACTTCAACTAAATGTTTAAACTAATAATTGGATTACACATTTATTATATAGTCAAAACTGACAAAGCAATTGATATATTATGAATTTATGATCAATATAACATTTTAAGTTCAATAATAAATGTTTTGACATTAAATATTTATTTTTTGAAATAGCATTAAATAATTATTTAAACTCAAACAAAAGTGATGAATGTTTCCCTAGAATCACCTGGGGCTCATAGTATAATTTTCACTCCGACAAACAAATTGTTAATTTTACGATCTTTGGACAACCTTGGAGGGATCAATACAATCGATAAAAGAAAGTAGTGGAAAGAAATCGTTACACTATATCTTATTAATTACGCTAGATCTGATATTGTTTTTCCAGTGAATTTACTAGCTAGGTTTAGTATTCTCTAACCAAAAGACATTGTATTTCTCAAAAGTACAAAAACATTTTGGTCTTTTTCCCTAATACATCATATTGCAGATCTGTTACTTTCATTAAGACTTGTTCAAAGTATCTACGAAGTTCTTGTATTATAATATTTTGTTCAATTTAGTCTTTATACATTTATTTTTTTCAATTTAATCTCTATACTTTTAAAAGTGATGCAATTAAGGATAATAGTTAACGTTGTTAATATTACCGTTAACTTAAATTATGTGACACTGATGATATTTATATTCCTACATACTCATATATTACTTTATAAATATTTAAAATTAATAATTTTTTACCACTAATATGTTAAATTAGTATGTTCAAAATAAAAAATTATAACCATGTTCCTAATAAGATTTGTACATTGTTTTTAGTTTCATCACTTTTTAAAGTAGATGAACTAAATTGAACAGAATAAATGTACAAAGATTAAATTAAACAAAATACTATAGTACATAAACTTTATAGGTACTTTGACTTACCTCCTAACTTTGAAAAATATATGTTCACAAAATTAAGTTCCTCTAGATATGATTAATTGATTTTTTTTTCCCCTTAGGATCAAGAACGTAACACAAACAATTCAATAGAAGAGCGAATTATTTTTCTAATTTCTTAAAACTTAATTGCGTCCTTATCGTGGAATCGAAAACGACAGGGAAAACAGTCGGTGAAGCAAAACAGTGACACGTGGTTAACAATTGCCTACGTAGTGGTTATGATATTCCATTTTCCTTCCAGCATATATATTAGTTAAATTTGGGGATGATGACGTGTACGGAGCGTTATTCACCTGAAAATATCTTTATCCAATAAGTTCAATTATTGGGAAGATTAATCATAATAGAATAGATAGCCTCAAAATCATTAAACGTGACAATAGAATATATTTATTTGGGCGGTTTTAAGATGAAGATCAATCAACCTTCTCAATTATTGATATCCAATTACTTCACGGAGGCAGAAACCAATTTTTTTCTTCTTTTTTTTTTTTTACAGTGCGACCAAAATTATTTTCTTTTTTTTGAATGTTACTAGCTCTATTACATTATAGTATCTGAAACACAAAGAGCTAATAATGTCTCCACTGAGACTCGAACTCACAATCTTCTAAATAGAAGTCCAACTCGAATACCATTGGACCACATAATCCTGGTAACCAAAATTATTTTCTAATTAACTTGATTATCAATTTTTAAACCAACATATCTTTTATGTCATATAATCAGTGCTCTTAATGCTAAAATCTTTTATCACCTAAGGAATAATTCCCATATGAACGGGCTTATATATATATATAGAGTCGTGGGTGCGAATGGAGTAAAATATAAACCAATCAACGTGCGTTATGTGTCCAAATTTAAGTGCACATATAGTTATAACTAAGTGCACGTAGGTGAAAGTAGGTGCACCTGATCAATGAATGTTAACAACCCACAATTACATGCACTTGTAGGTGAAAGTAGATGCACTTGTAGGTGAAAGTAGGCACAAATTATGCTGTGAATAATTATGAATCTACAACATGGTGAACACGGTTCCACAGTATAACTATGCACTTATAGGTGACAGTAGAGCACGCGCGCTGATTTAGAGATGGCAACAGGGCGGGGACGGGGACGGGGAGTATACACCCCGTTTCCGTCCCCATCCTCGGCGGGGAATTGGAAATACTCCCCATCCCCGTCCCCCACGGGAAATTAGACGGGGACCATTCCCCGTCAACTCCTAGTCAAAAAATTGTAATTTTCAACAATAAAAACAATTAAAATCTAACTCCTAATTTCAAAAATTAAAATACTAAGCCTATATATATATAAACAAATAAAATTATTCGGGGACAGGGCAGGGCGGGGCGAGGTATCCCGTCCCCGTCCCTGGAGAGAAATTACACATATTCTCTCTCTCCGTTCTTGTTCTCTGAAAATTTTTTCCATCCCCATTTTTATCGTGGTGGAAATAGAGAATCTCCATCGAGAGCGGGACACATTGTCATCCCTATGCTGATTGGTTCGCATTTCACACCTGAGGGTGCCATTTGCACCAGAGTCTCTCAATATATATATATATATAATATAATATAATTTAGATTAAATTTTTTTAATTTTGAAGTGCAAGAAACCAACTCTGCCCTGTGGGAGATTTGCCTGTCACCATCTGTCATCTGACATCTTCATTGTTGGTACTGAAGTTAAGAGTTGAAGTATTAGAAGTCTCTAGAAAAACTATTTGTTGATGAACCCAGAGTTCAACACCGCCCATTTGACTGTTCAGCTCAGATTCCCACTCCCCTATATAAACTACTCATATTCAAATACTCCTCCATTAAGCTGCCTTCTACTTTCTCTCTACAGCTATACATATATACGCTTCGACGGAGTTTGATTAGCTCGGAGTGTGAAGATCGGCGTTCGTCAGGGTTGAAAGTTCGTTACTCTGCGAATTTGATTTTATTTCTCTGTGTTTTCCCTACTTCAATTCGGTGTTTAATTTTCTGCTTTTAACTCTGCTTGATTAATATTGGAAATCTAGGTATGCTTGTTTACTTTGTTTCACTGGTTTTGGAAGTTTAGCTTTATTTTTCGCTTAAATTTCGATGTACTTGGTGGATAATATGCCGTGATTGTTGATGGAAACCTATGCATAATGCATGTTTCTTAAGTTAATTTCTGTTATTTTCATGCTGCTTGTTAGGTTACCTTCTTTTTTTTGTATTCTGTTTTTATTTATTTTAAATAGCGGTTCTCTGTGATTCTAAATGCAAATCAAGTTGTGTTTGTTTGGTTAACTTACTTGATTTTTGTTGTAGTTATGTGCTGCTGAGTTTTGCATTTAATAGAGTAATGTAAAGATGGTGCTATATTTGTGTTTTGGAAAACAATTACTATTATGCTCTACTGCGTGGAGGGTAGTTTTCAGGAAACAGTCACTAGCCTTTTGACCCGCGAAGGCTTTCATTCTCTCAATGTAGAGCTGGATTATGCATGCTTACCTTTGTGAATTGCTTGGTTATGCGTTTGGGACTTAGTGATGTATAATTTATGCTTGCAGCCTTATGGGAATGCAAATTTTATTTTTGGCACTGCTGAGAATGATTATTAAGATGTCGAAGTCTAATAGACTTCCTCCTTTTGGATTAAATGAATATTGATCCTTTGTTGATCTCCTACCGTATGTTTTCTGCATTTCAGTGCTTAGGGCATGAAAAGAGTTGTTTTGAATTTTGTGTTGTAATTGATATTAGATGCCAAGGACTATATACCTTATGAAGTAATGATCATATTTTTGCTCTAGATTTTAGGGAAACAGAACTTAAATCATCCCTGCTAGATTGGGAGTAAGGATGTAAGGCCTGGTTGGGTTTCTGTAACTAAAGTGGTGTTGATATGATATTTCAGGATTCTATAGTTTTCATACTTAAGTGACCCTCAAACATTTGGGATTTTGTTCTAACTGCTTTTTCTGAACTTGTCATTGTTTAAATGATTCTTTAGTACCTTTTATTTCTGTCCAAAAGGAAATTTCTGAGAGAACTATCCTTTTACTAAGGGATAAAATTAATTGTTCATTTATTCTGAATATAAAATTTAACACAAGTTACTCTGACCATATGGTCTGAGTAGTGTGTTCAGTAGGGCTGTTGATCTCTTGTTATTCATTTGTAGGAAAAAAATTACACTTGCTGAATTCTTGTTAGTCTGAGCATTTATATATCCAGTACAAAGTGGAGTTACCCTGAAATCAAATGCAGGGTAAAATAAATACAAAAGTGAAGATATTTTTGAGTGCTTGAAACTAAATGACTCCTATTTGTCTTGTAAAGCTATGCTTCGGGTAGCACCTGTACCTAGATGCCCAGCTGTGGATATATATATTTCTTATGTGTCAGAAGAGCAATTTTGCATGAATTTCTGATTAAGCTTACCCATTTCCAATCTAACAGAAGACTAGGAGTTTTTTTTTCATCATTTCGGAGAGTATTAATGGGGACCAAGCTGGCTATAGTGTATAGATGGTTTCTTCATTGGTATTTGGCATCCTTTATTTCTCATTTGTTCGGTCATAGTACTATGACAGGAACACATAGATGATGGCCTTAACTTTTTTGAGATGAAAGCATTAACTAGTTCTTGTGTTTTTCTGATCTAAGAGTTTGCACTGTTCTCAGCTTCTGTAGAGGTTACTTACATTCATTTTGGTGTGACAAAGTTTAGAGGCCCTAGACAAAGTTATCAGTATTTGTTCTTACTTTTTGTTGAACAGCTATAACAAAGCTTCTGAACATTCTCTTATGATTTGCTTTTGCAACTTAATTCTTTAGAACTACAACTGAAATTTTTATGCATGTGAACAACAAACAGCACCTGTAACTCTTTTGAGTAAAATTCGTATGGATGTGAACAACAAGAAACACCCATAACTCTTTCACATAAAATTCTCACGCATGCAAAAACAAGAAGCATCCACATGTAGGAAAGAGTTTTGCAGAAAGTTATATGCAAAAACAAGAAGCAAAGGAATATGCTATTCCAACCTCTTAGAAAATGGACAAGCTTAAGCAATAATCCATGAGAATATAGATTCTTTTATTTTGGAATGTGGCATTTACAAAGAATTTTTTGGGAGGTTTTCTCATATTGAAGAAGATGTGGTGAAGATTGCGGACAGAGGTAGGATTGTCCTTGATGGACAATGAAACTTAACTATCTCTATAATCCCTGCCACATTTTCCCTTCATTTGTTCTCACTGTAAGAGCATGATTGATGTTATTATCCCGTTGATTTGACCATAGGTTGGACTGTCTATCAGTGATGTTTGTTTAGATGGACTTTTGACTTCTCCAACAATCAAGTGCGTGCAATGGTTATTATCCACTGCTGGATGCTGATAGATTTTGTTGGGGGTTCAAATAGATGTGCATGTTTTGATGAATTCTTCTCAATGGAGTTTGGAGCAGTTCAATCTTAGTTGGAATTTGTTGGTGCTGATATGATTTGGTCTTCTGCCAAGTGTGAGAGAGCACCATTTTGTGGGTTACTTGCCCATTTGGAGGGGCAACTAGACATAGTTTAGGTTTTCAAAATTTTCCTTAACTTTTTCAATCTCAATGCAGGTTGTAACCCATTTCCAGCTATCACTTAATAGTTAATTTCATCTGCAAGAGACGATGTCTGAACTAGCTGCTGAACATTCTGGTGCTCCACGCCTTGAGCCAATAACCTCACAAGTTGTGGAAAAAGAAGAGAAGACTGTTGGTTTTGGGAAGGCTTCTCAAGGAAGCAACATGTACAGGGGAGAATCATTTCAGGAAAATGTTAGTGGCACTGAAGCCCTTGATAAAGGGTACATGAAATACGGGTACAACATCTTGGCATCTTTCTAGTTAATTAAGTGAATATTATATAAGCTATCTTTCTATGTAGTTTAGTTTTGTGTTATTTGAATTTTCAATTACATACTGACTTTTATCTAGTTTGTATACTTTAGAGCATTATGTTTATCTGTCCATCGTCATTCACACGTTTTTATTCCACTTTTTCTTAATGGGGTAGCTGCTCTCATTATCAGCGAAGGTGCAAGATTAGAGCTCCTTGCTGCAATGAAATATTTGATTGCCGGCATTGTCATAATGAGGCAAAAGTAAGTTTTATTCTTTGTTTTGTGTGAATTACTCTTGATTGGATGTAAATTAGTTATTGCCTATGTTGCAGGACTTCTTACCATGTATTTTTTCATGATTTGATCCATTGGATTCCCTGTCATAGACCCTCTCTTCTGCTCAGTGCTCCTTTTTTGGAGTGTGCAGAGTCATTGAGAAAAATCTTTAAGCACTTAAAATACTTAATTTTATTTTTGTTCTAGAATGTTATTTTTGTTCTAGTTTTCTTTCTTTAGTTATTTGATAATACTAACATCGCATACTGTTGGGCAGAACAATATTGATGTTGACAAAAACCTTAGACATGACATCCCCCGTCATCAAGTGAAATGGGTATGCTACTGTACTAGTTTATTTCTGTTGCAGCTTTTCCCCTTTGTTATCTTCCATTGTAACAGAAATGTGTCTTCTATTTCAATCTTGCAGGTTATATGTTCACTTTGTGGCACTGAACAAGAGGTTTGGGCTCTTTATTCTTAAATATTTTTATTTCTATTTTATTTTTTGAGAGGGGAGGCAGAGTGAGAATTGAGTTAGTTTCACTTTTTATCTTACGATCTTTCAATTTTAGCGACATTTCACTCTTTAATCCTTGACTACTATTAATTTTACGAAATTTATTATTGTTTGACTTGCTAAAAATCAACCATATCAGGTCCACACTTTGGACTAGACTTGGTCAATTCAAAAATTTGAAGGACTAAATTAAAAAAGATTGATTAATTGATGACTAGAAGTGGAAATGTCTCTATAATCGAGTGGGGGAATTAATTCATATGGAGTTACTTGATTGAGAATGGTTCCTTGATACATCAACTCATGCATCTGAACTAGGGAACTCGCTCTCTCTGATCTCTCTCAGACACTCTTTTTCAGCTCTTGCTTCAACCCAATCTCGTTTCTGATGAAGTGATTATATTGTTAGCAGGCTCAGCAAGTTTGCATCAACTGTGGTGTTTGCATGGGGATATATTTTTGTGAAACATGCAAGCTATTTGATGATGATGTAAGTCAGGATCTTAATAGTAAACCTAATCAATGTTCTGTATATTTTGTTACCTGACGAAAAGATGCCAACTGATTGCTATTCTTTTTTCAAAATGCAGACATCTAAAAGACAGTATCATTGTGGTGGATGTGGCATTTGTCGGTATACTTGTGCTTCTTTAAGCATTAATCTCCATTTTCAAATTAATATAATAAACATTCCTTTCAAAAAAAAAATTAATATAATAAATAAATAAATAAAAGATTTTCTTTCATCTCTTCTCCATTTAATTAGTATTTGACTACTTCATAAAATTCATTTTCATATGCAGCATCATGTTCTTTGAGAAACTTATGCTCATACTTGTTCTTGTCTACAGAATTGGCGGAGAGGAAAATTTCTTCCACTGCTCTAAATGTGGTGAGTATTAGTTTCTTCCCAATTTTCAATCACCTTTGGCAGTGATATGATAGAATAAAACATAACATGATGTTATCTTACACTGAAATGCATGTATGATCCAGGATGTTGCTATTCAATCATTTTGAAGGATAGCCATCCTTGTATTGAAGGAGCAATGCACCATGACTGCCCTATTTGTTTTGAGGTATGAAAAGTAGCAAATTATCTCTCCCCCCTAGGTGATTTGTGTTAATATATTAAATCAGATCAGTTTCTTCCTTTCTTCTTCAAACCTGAATGAAAATATTAATTGACAGTATCTGTTCGAGTCAAGAAATGATGTTACGGTCTTGCGTTGTGGCCACACTCTTCACAGGAACTGCTTAAAGGAGATGCAGGAGCACTACCAGTAAGTTATGGTCTATCTATAATGTATTGCATTTTCATTGGTAGCATATAGTTTAACTTATCCCATCATTGTGCAACAGATACACTTGCCCCATTTGTTCAAAATCAGTATGCGATATGTCAAAAGTGTGGGAGAAATTCGATGCCGAGATTGCTGCAACACCTATGCCAGAATCTTACCGGAACGAGAAGGTGACTATTATTTTCTTGTCTGAATCCGTCTCCATATCATTACTGTTATGTTTTTCTATATTGTAAGTTAGTTAATTTTGTAATGAATGCTAACTAACACCAGTATCATCTTTAAGGTTTGGATTCTTTGCAATGACTGTGGAACCAGCTCAGAAGTTCAATTTCACATCGTTGCTCAGAAGTGTCCTAGTTGCAAGTCTTACAACACACGCCAAACAAGAGGGAGATAGATAAATAATGTATTAGATGGGACTAAAAAGGGGATTGCACCAATCGCAAGATCTTTGCCAATTCTAATTCACTCGTAAAATTGATGGGAAGCACTGCAGCAAGGACTTGTCAACTGCCTCCTTCAAATGGCGCTGTAAAAGATAAGAATTCCTTTTGAATTGGCAATTTGTACTTCATATTTCCCACGATAGTTGAAAACCTTATTTAAGTTTGAGACTATTTCTTATGAACTCTATAATGCAATTTTTCTTTTCCCCTAAACTTGTTCACTCGGAGTACGTATTGGTGATTCAAGCTCTGATATAAACCCCCTATCCAGCCCGACCAGCCGAATTAGTTTGAGCCGACCAGTAATAGACAATTTAGACTGATAGTTATGATATAAACCTCCTGTTCCAGCCGTATTAGTTTGAGCCAATTAGTGATAGACGTTTTAGACTGATTTACCACAATTTGTATTAGTTTGAATTAATCAATTATTCTTCCAATTTGTATTAGTTTGAATTAATCAATTATAGACAATTTAGATTGATTTATCTGTCATTTGTTAACTGATTAGAGTCATGAAATGAGATTTAATCAATGTACACCCACAAATAGTGGTGTAAATTTCTCTTGTATGCTTCTTTATAAGATAATATTTATTCTATATTTTAAATCTTTTTTAGTCTAAAGAATTAATATTCTCACTATTAAAATTCGATCATGTGACTATCTATTTAGAATAGTAACTTTTTTGATTGTCATGATTACATGTTATTTAGACCGTCTATTAGGACTCCAAAATAAAGAGTAAAGACTAATCCCTAACTTTGTTGAATGAATTTGCTTCATTAAAATTCTTATATAAATAAAGATGAAATCTTTTATTTAATTAACTAGATGAAAAGAAAATACATAGGAAACACATATACCATGGATCTCAGTGCAGAAAGAGGAGATACATAATTGAAAGTTGAAAGAAAGGCTTAAAAGGCTTCCTGAGTTGCAATAGGAACATGGGTCCTAACTATGAAAAAGGTCTCATAAATAAAGCCCGCAAGCCCACCTCCAATGAGCGGCCCAACCCAATATACCCAGTGATCGGTCCAGTTTCCACTGACCAAAGCAGGCCCGAAAGATCTTGCTGGGTTCATGGAGGCCCCAGAGAATGAGCCACCAGCCATGATGTTTGCTCCCACCACAAGCCCAGTTAGGAGTGGGCCCAGCCCATCAAGATTCCCCTTCTTGGGGTCCACAATAGTAGCATACACAGTGAAAAGTAGGGAAAATGTCAAAATGATCTCCATTATAACTCCTTGTCCGTACCCCACTCCACTAGCTAGGGTATGTGCTGGAGTTGTCTGCATATTCAATCAAATCATTATTACTTTGCTTTTCAATCTTTGGTCTATATATAATTTCACTTTAGTTTGATTTGATTTTCACATTATATGGGTTTGAGATTAAAATATGATTAATTAGCTTTGACTTTAGTACTAATTAAAAGTGGCACATTTTTAATAGTTAGGGAATCAAATTAACCAATATGTTATTTTATTTTATTGATATCTCTTTGTAGAAAAAAATAATTAAATAGACCATGATCTAACTTTTACACTTTGTGAAATTGAATCATCCAATAAAAAAGTATGAAATTGAACCATTAAAATTTTTAAAATTATGCTATGACTGCTTTACCTTCGTGTGCTATGAATGAAGGGGTGACAGTCACGATTACCCTCACCTTTGTCTTGAACGAGGATGGAGGCAGCCAAGGTTGTCCCATCTTTCGTCCAATCTGGATGAAGGGGAGACGACCATGGTTGCTTCCTCCTTCATCTAGATCGAACGAAGCAAGGGGCAACCATGGCTACCTCCCCCTTCATCCATACCAGACGAAGGTGAAGGCAACCATGGCGGCCTCCCCAACATCCACAATAGACGAAGGTCCACCTTCTTTTGATTTTTTTAAATTGTTTTTTTTTTTTAATTTTTTAAAATAATTTTTATATATAATTTAAGATTACGACATCATATTTTACTCTAAACCTAGAAGTAACTTGTGAAATATATTATTTATACAGTGCAAATTTTATTTGTTTAATGGTCCAATTACATATTTTTTTTGTTTGATGATTCAATTGCGCACAATATAAAAGATCATTGGCATATTTGACACTTTTTCCTTCTTTATTTTGAGGGGGTGAGGGCTTACCAGTCCTCCAGTGAGGTAAGTGAGCAAGGCACAAGCAGCAACAGAAGCTAATAATTGATCGATGAGATAGAGGAATGATCGGATAACAGTGATATGGCCACCCATGAGGAGGCCAAGGGTGACGGCGGGGTTGAGATGAGCCCCGGAAATTCGCAATCCAGCAGAGATCATCACGGCCACTACCAACGCATGTGCCATGGCAACAAAAAATAAGCCAACTAGTGCGTTCCCTTGTAGTTGGTCTTTTATTTTCAACATGCACCACAAACCAAAACATCAACACATTTAATCTTTATGCTCCAATATGTAGTTAACAATAATAAGATTTTGCCATTTTGGAGTGTTTGGCAAATAACTGTTAGCTAATTAATCAGCTAAACTGATTGAGTTAGTGAGTTTGACTAGCACTAGCTTATTGTAGAAAGATGTTTGGTAAATTAGCTCTTAGCTGATATCTGATCACATGCAAAATGATCATTAAGAGTATAATTAAAAAAACTGCTTTGAACAATTTTTTGAATTTTTTTATGTTTTAAAACAATAAATTGTTACAAAAAGCGGATTAATCAAACACTTATATTAACTGTTTAACCAAATCAAACAACTAATAGGATGGTCAAACAAGTCAAAATTAGCTGATAAACTAATTATGTTACTAAATCGGGCCTTGGCCTTAAAACTTTTTTTTTTTTTTTTTTAAATTTTATTGAGAACTACTAAACGTGATACCTCCTAAGTTCAGCATATACTTAAATATTTTGAAATAAATATGATTCACAAGCTAAGGATTTTAATATTATTGTATAATGATCCATTTACTAAAGTTGCTTCTAAGAGAGTGGTTAATTAAAGTGATAAAAAAACACCCATTTAATAATATTATAGTTGAAATTGTCCATTAATCCAACCACTCAAACCTTTAGAATTTCAACTTATCAAAAGGTTAAGATATCAGTTAAGAATAATATATCACTATGTATAATAAAAAACACTCATTTAATAATATTATAGTTGAAATTGTCCATTAATCAAACCACTCAAACCTTTAGAATTTCAACTTATCAAAAGGTTAAGATATCAGTTAAGAATAATAAATCACTATATATAATATAATATCAATAACTAATGGCTTAAATTTCACTAGTGTATGTTTAAATGCATTTTAAGATAACTTAGGCGCTTACCGGTAGCCATTGCGGCTCCAACTCCGGTGAAAACAAAGAGGAAGGTGCAAATGAACTCAACAATGAGTGCTTGGATGCAGTCAGACTGCAGGGCCTCACTGCCGTTTCCTAAGGCAATCTTAGCCATGGCTCACAAACTTCACAACCTCAACCTAGCTAGCTTTCTTTTGGTTTGTAAGGCACTTCTTAAGGAACACTAACATGCATATATATAGGCAATATAGCCACTACATGACATTAGCTATCCTAGCTGCTTGGCATGTTACTATACAATAATACAATAGTACAATAATGTGATTTTATATTTTGGCTTCACATATAGGCGTTGACTTGTCCAATAATTTCAACATTGCCATTATCAAAATAAATGTGTAACTTTTGTTTTCGTTTAAATACTTCATTAGTGCCAATACCAGCCTTGTGGTCTAACAACATTCGGGTTGGACTCGTATATGGAAAGTAGCTTTAGTGGAGGCGTTATTGGCTCTTTGTGTTTTAGTAAGTTGAGAAAGTAGTTATGAACATATATTACATTGTAATAGAGTTAGAAGCATTCAAAAAAAAAAAAATACTTCATTATTCTTAACACTATTAGAAAAATACTACATTATAATAGAGTCAGTAGCATTCAAAAAAAAAAAAAAAAATACTTCATTAGTCTTAACACCATTAGAAAATGTTCAATGTAATCTTATAAGGAGTATATATATTATAAAATTGATCAATTTAGTCTCTACAATATTAAGAATAAAATTATTAACATCATTAGTTAAAGTTTTAATCACGCTTATTTGGTTAAATGACATGATAATGACGCAATTATCAAATTACTTATTAATAATATGCTAACATAAAAATACTTGAAATGTTATTATTAGTCATCCACATCTCAAATTTTCAATTTCCCCGGCCCCTACCCACAAATACAATGTGAGTGTAGTTTGAGTATTTAGGTGTTGGCTTTTGCATACAATTTCAACATTGGCATTATCAAAATAAATGTATCATACTTTTGTTCAAATCAGTATAATAGAATTTTTATAATGTCTTGTGTTATATAAAATTGTATCTTATTTTTGAAGATGTAGGACTACAAAATACACAATAATAGTAATATTAATAATATGAGAAAATATCATTTTTAGTCCCTGGACTATAATACATGTATCAGTTTTAGTCTTTGACTATTAAAATTTTCAATTTTGGTGCATCACTATTCAATTTGTATCACATTTGGTCCTTGACTATTAACATTTTCAAATTCGGTGCATGACTATTCAACTTGTATCATATTTGGTCCTGTCGTTAAATTTTCCGATTAAAATTCCGACAAAGTCACTGGTGACTGGCTAATTTATTTAATTTTTATTTTAAAAATTATTTTAATAATTTTTAAATTAAAAAACTTATAAATAAAAATAAAGTAAAATAAAATAAAATGTCCCCCACCCTCCTCCTTCGTCTCCGGCGAAGACGAAGGAGGGGGGGGGGGGGGGGGGGTGGCCAGCGTTCTCTTTCCTCCTTCCTTCTTCGTTTCCGGTGGAGACAAAGGAAGAATGAGGAGAAAAAAAACGTCGGCCACCCCACCCCTTTCTTCCTTCGTCTCCGGCAGAGACGAATGAGGAGGGGATGAGGTGGTTGTAGTTTTTTATTTTATTTATTTTTATTTATTTTATTTTTAAGTTTTTAAATTTAAAAATTATTAAAATAATTCTAAAATAAAAATTAAATAAATAAGCCCGTCACCAGTGAGTTGGCCGGAATTTTGATCGGAAAATTTAAAGGCAGGACCAAATGTGATACAAGTTGAATAGTCATGCACCTAATATGAAAATGTTAATAGTCAAGGACCAAATGTGATGCAAATTGAATAGTCATGCATCAAAATTAAAAAGTTTAATAGTCAAGCACTAAAATTGATACATGTATTATAGTCGACGGACTAAAAATAATATTTTCTCTAATAATATTATAGTATAAGACAATGTAAAAATTATCGTTAATATAATATTATTATTAATGACATCTTAATTTTTAAAGATGACATTAAATATAAAGTTATACTTCTATCCTTCAATAATAAAAAAAAAAAGAGTTGCAATACACCAATTAGAGCAAGTGTTTAGTTAGTGCTCATGTAATGATGCATGTGTTCTTCTTTTTGCTCCTTTTTTAATCGTCTTTTGACATTTAAATTGTCTACTAGCTGTATCAATCAATTCATCAATCGAAAGCGTTCCACCTTAGATGAACCTTAAAATAAATAATAAATAAATAGATCTCTTCTTGGTTGGCATTTATATTCTATGAATATACTATAGCATAGACAATAGACTTGCAATTATTTAATATTATTAAAATATATAATAGTGTAACCATACGTAATGAATAGACTAAAGAATAACTAAATAATCGAACTCTTTATAATCATAATTATTACTAACGTGCCTAGTGAACTACTTTATGTATCATTAACGACAGATTGATTCTAAATAAAGACTTCGATTTTTTTATTTTTCTTTGCTCAAAACACTTCGTGATCTGATAAAAAACAAAATAATTGAACTATTTATTTAGAATTAATCTGTCGTTAATGATATATAAAGTAGTTCACTAGGCACGTTCGTTAGTAATAATTATGATTATAATTTATATTTATGCCATAAAAAACTTTTGGTCATATACTTTAATTAACCTCATTATAAGAGTACGCACTACTTCTAATGTGCGTATTGAGCTATTAAATTAATGTCCAATACAAAAATTAAAATAAATAAATATTTAGTATAATTTTTAAATCGTAAATAATTAATATAAAATAAAAATGATTATTTTCAATATAATTAAAATGAGTATTTTCAACCTGTAATATAAGTAGTAGTAAATATGAGTATTGTTGTAAATAATTGTAATCGAGAATAAAAATAATGTCCAAACAATTTTTATATTAAAATAAATTAAGTACACGTGCGATGACTCCCCCCGGTGAAAGATGGTGTGAAATTTGAGTCGTTGATCTAATCTATATCAACGACTCAAATCAAGAAAAATTATTTTTTTAAAAACGCGCTATCGATCTTCCCATCTCTAAAGCAGAGCTTCAGCAGAGGATAGTATGACTGGACATCAGGTTTATAATATGGTGAATTTTCCATTTCTCTCAGATATTCTAAAGCTGTTTGTTCTTGAGAAGTTTGAGGAAGCGCTACAGATTTCTGATAGGATGAAATTGGTTGGTTGTAAACCTGATACACTTTTCTATAATGCTTTGATTCAAACATTAGGCAGGGCTCGCCAAATAAAAGAGGTTGAATATGTATTCAAAGTTGGAATGCAGATAAATGGCGTCAAACCAAACACTTCATCAAGATATAAAACTACGCACCTTAAGTTATAAAATCACGCACCTTCAGGTATAAAACAACGCACCTTAAAAAGGAAAACAACGCTCCTTAAGAAAGGAAAATCATGCACCGAAAGCTTTAGATCGACGCACCTTAAGAATGAAAAAAACGCACCTTAAAGGCAAACATCACACCTTAAAAAGAAAAACCACGCACCTAAAGCTTTAGGCTGACGCACCTTAAGTTTCCACAACTGACGCATCTTAAGCACACAGACCACACACCTTAAGAAGGAAAACCACGCACCTAAAACTTTAGACCGGCGCACTTTAAGTTTCAACAATTGACGCACCTTAAGCACACAACATAGAAACCACGCACCTTAAGCACAAAAATCACACACCTTAAGAAGAAAAACCACGCACCTTAAATTTGACCTAGATGCAAAAAGAGTAAATTGCCATCGTGTTTTTTTTTTTTTTTTTTTTTTTTTTTTTTTTTTTTTTTTTTTTTAATCCTTGTTAATCGTGGACGTTGATCTTGGCAAGATCAATAGCTCTCATCTCACCCCACGTTCGCACCTGAATACATCATCCGCATTTGATCCGTATATATATATATATATATATATATATATATATATATATATATATATATATATATATATATATATATATTAATTTATTTATTTATATTTATATTTATATTTATTTATTTATAGATTTGGGAAAATATGCGAAAGCCTTCTCCAGGTTAAAAATAGAGTGGAATCTCAACCATTAATTAAATTCAGATCAACTGTCCAAAATGAGTGAAATTTGGAAAAAAACTCGCGTGGGCTATTTGGTAAACTTATGTAAGTTAATGTAATTTTTTTTTTTTTTTTTTTTTTTACTTTGAGTGCATAATTTTCCTTCTTCGAGAACACATTTTTCTTCTTCAAGTGCATAATTTCTCTTCTTTAAGTGCACATTTTTCTTCTTCCAGTGCACACTGTAATGTATATAAAATTTCATTCTTCGAATGCACATTTTTCTTCTTGTAGTGCATAATTTCTCTTCTTCAAGTGCACATTGGAATGTATATAACTATATTTTTACTTCAAGTACATAATTTTCCTTCTTTGAGTGCACATTTTTCTTCTTCAAGTGCATAATTTCTTTTCAAGTGCACATTGTAATGCATATAAAAATATTTTTCTTCAAGTACATAATTTCCCTTCTTCGAGTGTACATTTTTCTTCTTCAAGTGCATAATTTCATTTATTCAAGGGCACATTGTAATGTATATAAATATATTTTTACTTCAAGTACATAATTTCCTTACTTCGAGTGCACATTTTTCTTCTTCAAGTGTATAATTTCTCTTTTTCAAGTGCACATTTTCCTTCTTCCAGCCAATGAACATTGTAATGTTTAGATATATATATATATATATATATATATATATATATATATATATATTACTTAGATTGTTATTGTTAACGTCGCAGTGGATATGATTATATATAAACTCTTAATTTAACGATCGGACAATCATAACTATGTTAAACAAATTAATTAAGTTGCCTCTTTTCAATATCATTAACAAAAAAAACATGGCATATGATAGAAATCCACAACAGAATTGAAGGAAAATAGGTTGGGAATGATCGTACAACAACAAAATTGAAGAAGAATGGCTGAGAATGATTGCGGAAGCTTACGTAAAATTTTTATTTTAGATATCTAGATGAACGGCTTAGATCTCACCTCAATTTTTTTTTTACCTACAAAGTCTTTTGCTCTTGATCCTATATATATATCACGAGTACAAC